ATGTTGGCAGATATACAGCTGAGCTGTAGACACTGATTTCACAGGCTGTTTGACTATTCCTTTGTGTATGTGTCACTGGCATTGTCCTAAATAATAATTTTCAGTAAGAGTCGACCAAAGCTGCTTACGAGAACTGAACACCCGGAAATTCATCTTGTCCCTAACGTATTGACCCAGATGTACATGATACCAAACTTGATTTAAATGCAAATGTAAGATTTACAAATAGGTCATCGTCAGACCTCTATATTACATCCTCGGACACTTTCTCCACTTCATCTCCTAATCCCGAAACCGTATAACTTCCTTGGTCCTCCAGGAACTTTGTCGCCAGTGTCCAGTAAGTCTAACTGGGACAGTAGGCACGTAGTATACTATGTTCACGACCCATGGTATACTGGGAAATACTTGTGTATTTTTGTAATGATTTATTATGACAATTTGCAAACACCAGAAACTGTAATATACTTTCCATTACCATGGTTACTATTCGTAACGTTGTTTGAATACTTAAACACTTATTTTGTTTTAAAATCATTAGAAATTGAAAAGCAATTCAAGCAATGGTAAGACAGATAATAGCTCTGCTTTATTGGTTTGTTTACAGAGGTGGAACGCAACTTATTCTGAACGAAGCAAGGAAATGTTCTGTAATCAACAGAAGAGAAGTGTAATGTCTTTATCTTGCCAAGGTCAATAAAACAAAACATGAAATTCTAACAAGATGCCACGAGGTCCCGGGATTTTTATTTCTACCTCTTTCTTTATTGATATCAGAATTCAATCTTTGTCGTCGATTAACACAGCTGAAATTGTGCCGGGGAATTAGTAGTTAAACCATATATTTGTTTCTTGGTACATGACGTCTGTTTCCGTCAGATATTGTCGATAGTACGGTTTGTGTCGAGTATCACAGTGTCTAAGCTACAGAAGTCGTGAAATCACTCGGAAGATGGGCTTGTACAGTATGGTCCCATAACAGACAGCAAACTGTTCCTTAGACACACACCAGTAATACCATAATACATGATATGGATGTTTCTGAGTAAGACTCGTGAACTTTCGAATAATTTAAGAGTGCGTCCTTTAGCGAAAGTTAAGCGTGGCAGTGATACACTCTTGTTGAGAGGGGAAACGATATAACGTGTAAAATAAAGCAACTGCGTCAATATAATACGACACTTTCCAGACTTAAAGGCTGTGTGACTAGAAAATATCGTAAAACAGAAATAAAAATAAAATAAAAACGAAATAAAAATAATAAAAAATAAACCCGAAAACAAATATTTACGGAAACTTCAGAAAGTAGCTTAATAACATAATAAATCAGTAATGAAAAAATAAAAAATGATAATTGAAAAAAGGTTAGGAAATTTCAAAACACAATGTTAAAAACACACATATCAGATTGAAATAAATCAAAATAATATTTCTAAAGTACACACGCCGTAAAATATAATTGTAAAACAAGATTCTGCTGAAAGATAATTTTCAATAAGCAACAGTCTAAACAAAACATCAAAACAAATTTGTTTAAGGCAATCTGTACAAAAAAATTGATTGGTTGTGGAATGCCTTGTTTATCTAAGGCTTGGTAGACCGACTGGTTGCAAATCAATCAACATTATTCTTTGAGATTAGTTTTTGTCAAAATCAGTATTAATTAAGAGTTATTTTACAAAGCAGTTTCATTTGCTTTTCCGCATAATGACCGTTTAAAAATTATGTAACGATAAACCCATACCCGTGGTATAAAGGAAATGCTTAATTGTGTTTGTCTATGTTGATTTTTCCTGGAGCTGTTATGTCATGCCATATATAATAGATGACGAAAACGGCATAATCGGTAGATAACTGTTGTACTTTAAGATGTCACATGATATCTACTCATATCACGGTGCAGTGCAACATAGTAAAGCTTCACAAATTTTATTGTAGACTAAGCACATGTTTCCTTAATCGAATGCGACCTTTAAAACTGCGTATGAATACGCTATCTGTCTCTTCCTGCATAAATTGATGTTAAACTTCATTGACTATAGCTGTGTTTATTCAGGTGCTCGGTATGTGTAGTAAATCACGTGTAAACACAGGATTACTAGTCTGGTCATCGGCCTTAACTTGTCATCTGTTATATCTAGGCACACAACGCTGCACAACAATCGAATGTGACGCTTGGGGAATTCAGCCAAGTCTATAGAGACCTATATTTTACGGTTAGTGTAGTTGTGAAAGATGTATATCGATTTTGAAAAAAGTACACATTTGTTGCCTTTTCTCTAACCTTCGGATTCTGGTTTTATACTGTATATCGTGGCATCTCTAACTAATTAGCTGTGTTGTAATGGTGTTATTTCATGTCGTGAGCTGCGATTTTATGTTACAGCAAGAAGGAGCTGTTAAATCCCCAGATTGTTCCGGATAAGCCTTGTGGTTAAATGTTTACAGATAACAAACTGACAGAAGCTACACACAATTCTCCAGAATTAGAATTTTATTAAAACATCGCATTAGCGTACGTCGAGTTTTTATAACATTATGTATAAATACGAGACAACAAATATATAGTTAAGTCATAATAGTCATTCAGAAATTTATATCTATGGAGACGCGTAGCCGTTAACAATGGTGGAAAAGTACATTTTACATCATACAAAGGTATACCCAACTTCACAAGGTGCTATGATTTCCTTCTCGTTTTCTGTAATAAAACAAGTCACGGTAATGAAATACGGACGACACGCTGGTAAGCTACTCATAACGGGTACAGAATTTGATAGCAAACTGATATTTACGTAACTGTGGAGAGATAACGATGGATGCTCAATAAAAATCTGTTACGTTATCACACGAAGATAAAACATTGGACTTTCAATCATATCACCCATTCCCTCTTGTTTGAATATACCTATTCAAAGATTTCACAACAGAATTTATTTGTGACACTTTACGATGTTACACTTAATAAAAACTCTACAGCAGTTCAGGCTACCGCCGACATGAATGACACTCGAAGAGTTAACAAAAACGAAATAAGCATATCATGTAGCTACCTTCAGGTAAGACAGCAAGACGATTATTTCTATGTCACGTTTTCATTTTTCTTTTATACTCTGGTAGGTGACTAAACACTATGGTACAGTACATGTATATTTGCAATGTTCGTTACATACTGGGGTACTGACACATGTCAGGTAAGGCAATATGTCCACTCTCAACCAGTACATGTATATATGCAATGTTCGTTACATACTGGGGTACTGACACATGTCAGGTAAGGCAATATGTCCACTCTCAACCAGTACATGTATATTTGCAATGTTCGTTACATACTGGGGTACTGACACACGTCAGGTAAGGCAATGTCACACTCTCAACCAGTACATGTATATTTGCAATTTTCGTTACATACTAGGGTACTGACACACGTCAAGTAAGGCAATATGTCCACTCTCAACCAGTACATGTATATTTGCAATGTTCGTTAGATACTGGGGTACTGACACACGTCAGGTAAGGCAATATGTCCACTCTCAACCAGTACATGTATATATGCAATGTTCGTTACATACTGGGGTACTGACACACGTCAGGTAAGGCAATATGTCCACTCTCAACCAGTACATGTATATATGCAATGTTCGTTACATACTGGGGTACTGACACACGTCAGGTAAGGCAATATGTCACACTCTCAACCAGTACATGTATATATGCAATGTTCGTTACATACTGGGGTACTGACACACGTCAGGTAAGGCAATGTCACACTCTCAACCAGTACATGTATATATGCAATGTTCGTTACATACTAGGGTACTGACACACGTCAGGTAAGGCAATATGTCACACTCTCAACCAGTACATGTATATTTGCAATGTTCGTTAGATACTAGGGTACTGACACACGTCAGGTAAGGCAATATGTCACACTCTGAACCTGACAGTTCTATTACTATTGTTTTTGGTTTATTGTACTAAAGACATAATATTCGTCTGTAAAACAACAATAAATATCTTAAACTTGATTTCCAGCTGTGACGTGGTGACCTTGACCTGTAGTCGGACGACTTCTCATTTGATTTCAACGGACTATGCTTCCTGACAGACAGACAGACAGACAGACAGACAGACAGACAGACAGACAGACAGACAGACAGACACTTATTTATAAGTATACGCGACGTTTACATATACTTAAATACTATAAGTTTTGTTACTTTTCGTATTTATACGTTTTAACATTCAAAATAGCTTAAAACAACATAATGAAACTACGAACAGAAATATTATAGTGTATTTATATACTACTGTACCACCAGTATTGTTAAACAGACGGAATGTATTGAAGATGTTTTAACAGTCTCAGATATGTAAGAAGGGAGACAAATCTATCAGTCTTATACTGACGTAATTTTCTCACTTGCTAATTGCAGTGCTCTGATACATTGAAACAAGGATCTATCCAGGTTATAAATTAGGCTTTATCTTAATCTTCATTTAAATGTGCTAGGCACTTCTATTTCTATTAGCAAAATTCATCGTCTGTTGATAGTGTTCATTTTTCCTTATTCCAGGGAAAGTGGTTATTTTTTAACAAAGGCCGTAATTGATGATAAAGACAAAGACACGACGAGGAAGGAGAATTTATAACAGTCTACATTTATGTCTCAAGGGTGTCTGCATCAAGTTCCTGTTGATGTTTCCAAATGTAAGACATACATCATAGTCTTGAATCTGTTTGTACCTAGGTGATTTCGATCCGATTGCACATCCAATATAAACGTGACAATACAAAGAAAGTATGGAATTGAGGATTAAGTTGGTCTTATACTTATACGATAAAGATGAAGAAATCCCCTACAAAACTATAATCTTAGATACTAAGGTGTTGATGCAAAGACGTATGTGTCTCTGGTTGATGGTATAAGCCAAGCATTGATTGTTACGACGCAGACGTGAATTTTATAATCGTTTAAAATGATAATCGTCCACACATTTCATAAATGTCCTCTGATTTGCTTTCTCCATTTCTGAACAGTATCTTTACCGCGTATCATATCTGCTGCCTTCTCTGCAATCATGATCGAAGGGGCGTTTGTATTTCCTGACGGCATGTTCCGCATCACGGAAGCGTCTACAACACGCAGACCATTGATACCTTTTACTCTGGAATAGATAACATTGGAATCACTATTCAAGATCAACACCAGTAAAAGCATTAGTTTAAAAAGGAAGTCACACTCGTAACAACGTATACTGTTTACATGCGAATTATAAGGTTAACAAAAATGCTTTACTGCGCTTGATATGTAGGACTTTCAGAGCGATGTACTGTAAAAAACAAAGTATTTATAAGATTGTAGGTGTGTGACGATTTATTACATCGTGTTGTTTGTTTTACAGTTTAGTAGTCGAATATTGTGTTTTAGTCTGTATTAATGCGCGAAGTGAGATACCATCTGTTGTGCCCTTTGGTTGAGTTTGTTTCATTTTATTACAGCGGGCTGGATTTTAGTATAATGTGTTACATCTGTACATACCGTGTAAGTTCTCAAAGAAGATACATATATATAAACTAGAATGTATTTGGAAACCAAGGTATTATGTTTTATTTTGATAAACTTTGTCTTTATATCAATCTTTTTAGCCATGTGTATGCAGACAAAAATATTGCATAGCTTACCTTAGTTGGGGGTCAACGACGGCCGTCCGGTCGTCCGTCCTGCCCATCCTACACGTTCCAGTTGGATGATAAACTGTTGCAGCAAACTGACGTATAAAACATGTCCAGAAAGCATCTGTTCTAAACACATGCTCTTTACAAAGTTTGTACATAGGTGTAGAAGGGTCAAGAGAAGCTCCTATCTTCTTCATAGGCTTAGTGTCCAGGATCCTTTCGGCAAACCGTATACCTACGACGTAAAACTCACACTGTAACGTTGTAGCAGAAACACGTCACCGTTATAGTTCGAACTACCACGGAATATTAATGTTAATGTGAAGTGCAATATTGTCTTTATAAATCATCATCTTCACGGCGCATTTCATATTTAAAAAAATGTTATGAAACTGGCGTGAAAGCCAAATTTATAACAAGCAACAACACGTTTTTCAAATTTAATTTGATTTAATTTCGCAACTGATGTGATTCAAACAACTGCTGACAGAAACTGGATAATTCAATTTTTTTCATAAACAACATTACCTTGTAAGAAGGTGTCGATATCGTCCTGGTGTTGCAGATACCGAGGGTCTATAGCTGGGTATTGGAGCGGATCCTTGCTTTTTAATCGTATGGTACCATTACTTTTAGGGTGTAAGACAATGGGCAGTAGGACAAAAGTGCTAGGAATTGGCGGTGACGAGAACACGAGGTTCAGGGCCTGAAACAGAAAATAAAATCTCATCGACAACAATCGCTTGGAATTATCATGTGTTAGGTTCAAACTTCTTTCAAGAAATACAGTATATATGTTATTAGATGCTAATCACCCAGCCCGTCCATAGTGATGAATGACATCTCTGACATATTCAGATCATCTTTAATGTTCAATCAGTGTATTAATCAGTCTAAACAGAGATAGATATGTATATCTGTTGTTTACATATATTAGATAAATAATTTGTCTGAAAATAGTAACTTGTATATTTTTGTGTATATATTTTAAGAATTCACACCTCTTCCTTCAAATTCAGATTTGCAAATTGTAATTCATTTGCGGTGAAAGCATGAGCGCTCTGAAGATGGAATTGGATGTCGGGAGCACTGCCGTTACTTGACTTGATGTCACTGTCTTTATAAAGAAATGCTGAACCTTCAATGGTAGTGGTTGCCATGGCACCTGTAATAGTGAACACACTGTCATTAAATACGTTTTTCTTCTGTCCTACTAACGACACTTTACAATGCATTTAATTATCTATATTGTATGTATGAGTGCTTAATATTACATGTATGTCTGTGGCGGTTCCAATGTTGTTTAGATTTTTGTGTGTTGACCAAGATTAAAATGGCAGGTGTCGTCGATAAAATAGAGGAGTATTACGATTCTGAATCACCAGGATTTGTTTTTATAATTTCTATCGAGTAAACTTGTTTCTTTGTTAATTGTTTGCCCCCTGATCTCGTATGTTTTTTTAATATTCACTATTTTCGATTTTCTGTTTGTTTTGCTTTGTATTATTTTTGCTATTTGTCTTACTACACATATCTTTGAGTGTGGCCAAGACTCGTAAGCTGTGGTTAATTCACCAAGTTTATGAAATTCATTATATTTCATATAATTTCAAATGAATTTATAAATAATAAAATATCCGCTATTTGTTTAGAATATCAAGGAATGTATTCAGTGAACGTAATGATCAGTAAGGAGTAAAGGGAAGTAACTCGAAGTTTGTTCATTAACAGGTATTCCATTTAAAAAAACAACTTCAAAAACATATTTAAATTGAGTAATCACTAATGTTTCCAATGGAAAGCAGTTGATATGAAGCTGAACATGCAAATAAGGAACGATCTCAATCACGTAAATAAGGAATTATCTCAAACACGCAAATAAGGAATGATCTTATACACGTAAATAAGGAATTATCTTATACACGTAAATAAGGAATTATCTCAATCACGCAAATAAGGAATGATCTTATACACGTAAATAAGGAATTATCTTATACACGTAAATAAGGAATTATCTTATACACGTAAATAAGGAATTATCTTATACACGTAAATAAGGAATTATCTTATACACGTAAAAAAGGAATTATCTCAATGACGCAAATAAGGAATTATCTCAATAACGCAAATAAGGAATGATCTTGTACACGTAAATAAGGAATGATCTCAATCACGCAAATAAGGAATGATCTTATACACGTAAATAAGGAATTATCTTATACACGCAAATAAGGAATGATCTTATACACGTAAATAAGGAATTATCTTATACACGTAAATAAGGAATTATCTTATACACGTAAATAAGGAATTATCTAATACACGTAAATAAGGAATTATCTTATACACGTAAATAAGGAATGATCTCAATCACGCAAATAAGGAATTATCTTATACACGTAAATAAGGAATTATCTTATACACGTAAATAAGGAATTATCTTATACACGTAAATAAGGAATTATCTTATACACGTAAATAAGGAATTATCTTATACACGTAAATAAGGAATTATCTTATACACGTAAATAAGGAATTATCTTATACACGTAAATAAGGAATTATCTTATACACGTAAATAAGGAATTATCTTATACACGTAAATAAGGAATTATCTTATACACGCGTACACGTAAATAAGGAATTATCTTATACACGTAAATAAGGAATTATCTTATACACGTAAATAAGGAATTATCTCAATACACGTAAATAAGGAATTATCTTATACACGTAAATAAGGAATTATCTTATACACGTAAATAAGGAATTATCTTATACACGTAAATAAGGAATTATCTTATACACGTAAATAAGGAATTATCTTATACACGTAAATAAGGAATTATCTCGCAAAATAAGGAATGATCTTATACACGTAAATAAGATCTCAATACACGCAAATAAGGAATGATCTTATACACGTAAATAAGGAATTATCTTATACACGTAAATAAGGAATTATCTTATACACGTAAATAAGGAATTATCTCAATGACGCAAAAAAGGAATGATCTTATACACGTAAATAAGGAATGATCTCAATCACGCAAATAAGGAATGATCTTATACACGTAAATAAGGAATTATCTTATACACGTAAATAAGGAATTATCTTATACACGTAAATAAGGAATTATCTTATACACGTAAATAAGGAATTATCTACACGTAATAAGGAATTATCTTATACACGTAAAAAAGGAATGATCTTATACACGTAAATAAGGAATGATCTCAATCACGCAAATAAGGAAATATCTCAAACACGTAAATAAGGAATTATTTCAAACACGCAAACAAGGAATTATCTCAAGCATGTTAATAAGGAATTACCTTATACACGTAAATAAGGAATTATCTTATACACGTAAATAAGGAATTATCTCAAACATGTTAATAAGGAATGATCTTATACACGTAAATAAGGAATTATCTTATACGCGTAAATAAGGAATTATCTTATACGCGTAAATAAGGAATTATCTTATACACGTAAATAAGGAATGATCTCATTCACGGAAATAAGGAATTATCTTATACACGTAAATAAGGAATTATCTTATACACGTAAATAAGGAATTATCTTATACACGTAAATAAGGAATTATCTTATACACGTAAATAAGGAATACACGTAAATAAGGAATTATCATACATGTAAATCATCTTATACACGTAAATAAGGAATTATCTTATACACGTAAATAAGGAATTATCTTATACACGTAAATAAGGAATTATCTTATACACGTAAATAAGGAATTATCTTATACACGTAAATGAGGAAATATCTCAAACACGTAAATAAGGAACGATCTTATACACGTAAATGAGGAATTTTCTCAAACACGAAAATAAGGAATGATCTTATACACGTAAATAAGGAATGATCTTATACACGTAAATAAGGAATTATCTTATACACGTAAATAAGGAATTATCTTATACACGCAAATAAGGAATGATCTTATACACGTAAATAAGGAATTATCTTATACACGTAAATAAGGAATTATCTTATACACGTAAATAAGGAATTATCTCAAGCATGTTAATAAGGAATGATCTTATACACGTAAATAAGGAATTATCTCAAGCATGTTAATAAGGAATGATCTTATACACGTAAATAAGGAATGATCTTATACACGTAAATAAGGAATATACACGTAAATAAGGAATTATATAACATGTTAATAAGGAATGATCTTATACACGTAAATAAGGAATTATCTTATACACGTAAATAAGGAATTATCTTATACACGTAAATAAGGAATGATCTTATACACGTAAATAAGGAATGATCTTATACACGTAAATAAGGAATTATCTCAATACACGTAAATAAGGAATTATCTTATAGGTAAATAAGGAATTATCTTATACACGTAAATAAGGAATTATCTTATACACGTAAATAAGGAATTATCTCAACATGTTAATAAGGAATATCTAAATAAGGAATATCTTATACACGTAAATAAGGAATTATCTTATACACGTTAATAAGGAATTATCTTATACACGTAAATAAGGAATATCTTATACACGTAAATAAGGAATTATCTATCTTATACACGTAAATAAGGAATTATATTATCACGAAGCTATGTAAATAAGGAATAAGGAATCTTATACATGTAAATAAGGAAAGTTTGAAGGAATTATCTCATAGCACGTGGAAATAAACGAATAAGGAATTATCTTATACACGTAAATAAGGAATTAACATGTTAATAAGGAATGATCTTATACAATCTTAACACGTAAATAAGGAAATATCTTATACACGTAAATAAGGAAATGATCTTATACACGTAAATAAGGAATATCTTATACACGTAAATAAGGAAATTCAAACATGTTAATAAGGAAATCTTATACACGTAAATAAGGAATATCTTATACACGTAAATAAGGAATTGATCTCAAACATGTTAATAGGAATATCTTATACACGTAAATAACACGAAGGAATTATCTATACATGTTAATAAGGAAATCTTATACACGTAAATAAGGAAATTATAATACTGTTAATAAGGAATATCTTATACACGTAAATAAGGAATATCTCATGTTAATTATACACTGTAAATAAGGAATAATATCTTATACACGTAAATAGGAATAATACACGTATGTTAAATAAGGAATATCTTATACACGTAAATAAGGAATACACGTAAATAAGGAATACTTATACACGTTAATAAGGAATATCTTGTACACGTAAATAAGGAAGTATCTCAAGCATGTTAATAAGGAATTACCTTATACACGTAAATAAGGAATTATCTTATACACGTAAATAAGGAATATCTAATATGTAGCATAAATAAGTAAATAAGGAATTATCTTAATACACGTAATAATACACGTACACGTAATAAGGAATAATATCTTAACACGTAAATAAGGAATTATCTCAAACATGTTAATAAGGAATATCTTATACACGTAAATAAGGAATTATCTCAATACATGTTAATAAGGAATATCTTATACTGTAAATAAGGAATACTCTACACGTAAATACACGTAAACATGTAAGGAATTATCTTATACACGTAAATAAGGAATATCTTATACACGTAAATAAGGAATTATCTTAATACACGTAAATAAGGAATGTATCTCAATACACGTAAATAAGGAATATCTGTAATACTGTAGTAATAATATTCTGTAATACTGTAGTAGTAATATCTGTAATACACGTAATACTGTAGTAGTAATACTGTAGTAGTAATATTCTGTAATACTGTAGTAGTGATATTCTGTAATACTGTAGTAGTAATACTCTGTAATACTCTGTAATAGTAGTAGTAATATCTCTGTAATACACTGTAATAATGAATAGTAATACTCTGTAATACTCTGTAATACTGGAATAGTAATACTCTGTAATACTGTAGTAGTAATACTCTGTAATACTCTGTATACTGTAGTAGTAATACTGTAATACTGTAGTAGTGATACTCTGTAATACTGTAGTAGTAATACTCTGTAATACTCTGTAATACTGTAGTAGTAATACTCTGTGATACTGAAGTAGTAATACTCTGTAATACTCTGTAATACTGTAGTAGTAATACTCTGTAATACTGTAGTAATACTCTGTAATACTCTGTAATACTGTAGTAGTAATACTCTGTAATACTGTAGTAGTAATACTCTGTAATACTGTAGTAGTAATACTGTAATGTAATACTGTAGTAGTAATACTACTAGTAGTAATACTCTGTAATACTGTAGTAGTAATACTCTGTAATACTGTAATACTAATACTCTGTAATACTGTAGTAGTAATACTCTGTAATAATGTAGTAGTAATACTCTGTAATACTGTAGTAGTGATATTCTGTAATACTGTAGTAGTAATACTCTGTAATAATGTAGTAGTAATACTCTGTAATACTGTAGTAGTAATACTCTGTAATACTGTAGTAGTGATACTCTGTAATACTGTAGTAGTAATACTCTGTAATACTGTAGTAGTAATACTCTGTAATACTGTAGTAGTAATATTCTGTAATACTGTAGTAGTGATATTCTGTAATACTGTAGTAGTAATACTCTGTAATACTCTGTAGTACTGTAGTAGTAATACTCTGTAATACTGTAGTAGTAATACTCTGTAATACTCTGTAGTAATACTCTGTAATAATGTAGTAGTAATACTCTTTAGTACTGTAGTAATAATACTATGTAATACTGTAGTAGTAATACTGTAGTAGTAATATTCTGTAATACTGTAGTAGTGATACTCTGTAATACTGTAGTAGTAATACTCTGTAATACTGAAGTAGTAATTCTCTGTAATACTGTAGTAGTAATACTCTGTAATACTGTAGTAGTAATACTCTGTAATACTGTAGTAATAGTAATACTAGTGTAATACTCTGTAATACTGTAGTAGTAATACTCTGTAATACTGTAGTAGTAATACTCTGTAATACTGTAGTAGTAGTAGTAATACTCTGTAATACTCTGTAATACTGTAGTAGTGATATTCTGTAATACTGTAGTAGTAATACTCTGTAATATTCTGTAATACTGTAGTAGTAATACTCTGTAATACTGTAGTAGTGATACTCTGTAATACTGTAGTAGTAATACTCTGTAATACTCTGTAATACTGTAGTAGTAATACTCTGTGATACTGAAGTAGTAATACTCTGTAATACTCTGTAATACTCTGTAATACTGAAGTAGTAATATTCTGTAATACTGAAGTAGTAATACTCTGTAATACTGTGAGTAGTAATTCTCTGTAATACTGAAGTAGTAATACTGTAATATTCTGTAATACTGTAGTAGTAATACTCTGCAATACTGTAGTAGTGATACTCTGTAATACTGTAGTAGTAATACTCTGCAATACTGTAGTAGTAATACTCTGTAATACTGTAGTAGTAATACTCTGTAATACTGTAGTAGTAATTCTCTGTGATACTGAAGTAGTAATACTCTGTAATATTCTGTAATACTGTAGTAGTAATACTCTGCAATACTGTAGTAGTGATACTCTGTAATACTGTAGTAGTAATACTCTGTAATACTGTAGTAGTGATATTCTGTAATACTGTAGTAGTGATACTCTGTAATACTGTAGTAGTAATACTCTGTAATACTGTAGTAGTGATATTCTGTAATACTGTAGTAGTGATACTCTGTAATACTGTAGTAGTGATATTCTGTAATACTGTAGTAGTGATACTCTGTAATACTGTAGTAGTAATACTCTGTAATACTGTAGTAGTAATACTCTGTAATACTGTAGTAGTAATACTCTGTAATACTCTGTAATACTGAAGTAGTAATACTCTGTGATACTCTGTAATACTGTAGTAGTGATATTCTGTAATACTGTAGTAGTAATACTCTGTAATACTGAAGTAGTAATACTCTGTAATACTCTGTAATACTCTGTAATACTGAAGTAGTAATACTCTGTAATACTCTGTAATACTGAAGTAGTAATACTCTGTAATACTGAAGTAGTAATACTCTGTAATACTAGTAGTAATACTCTGTAATAATGAAGTAGTAATACTCTGTGATACTCTGTAATACTGAAGTAGTAATAATATTCTGTAATACTGAAGTAGTAATACTCTGTAATACTCTGTAATACTCTGTAATAATGAAGTAGTAATACTCTGTAATTCTCTGTAATACTGAAGTAGTAATACTCTGTAATACTCTGTAATACTGAAGTAGTAATACTCTGTAATACTCTGTAATACTCTGTAATAATGAAGTAGTAATACTGTAATCTGTAATACTCTGTAATACTCTGTAATACTGAAGTAGTAATACTCTGTAATACTGAAGTAGTAATACTCTGTAATACTGAAGTAGTAATACTCTGTAATTCTCTGTAATACTGAAGTAGTAATACTCTGTAATACTCTGTAATACTCTGTAATAATGAAGTAGTAATACTCTGTAATACTCTGTAATACTCTGTAATACTGAAGTAGTAATACTCTGTAATACTGAAGTAGTAATACTCTGTAATACTGAAGTAGTAATACTCTGTAATACTGTAGTAGTAATACTCTGTAATACTCTGTAATAATGAAGTAGTAATACTCTGTAATACTCTGTAGTACTGTAGTAGTAATACTCTGTAATACTGAAGTAGTAATACTCTGTAATACTCTGTAATACTGAAGTAGTAATACTCTGTAATACTCTGTAATACTCTGTAATACTGATAGTAGTAATACTCTGTAATACTCTGTAATACTGTAGTAGTAATACTCTGTAATACTCTGTAATACTGTAGTAGTAATACTCTGTAATACTGTAGTAGTGATACTCTGTAATACTCTGTAATACTCTGTAATACTGTAGTAGTAATTCTCTGTAATACTCTGTAATACTGAAGTAGTAATTCTCTGTAATACTGAAGTAGTAATACTCTGTAATACTCTGTAATACTCTGTAATACTGAAGTAGTAATTCTCTGTAATACTGAAGTAGTAATACTCTGTAATACTCTGTAATACTGAAGTAGTAATACTCTGTAATACTCTGTAATACTGAAGTAGTAATACTCTGTAATACTGTAGTAGTGATACTCTGTAATACTCTGTAATACTCTGTAATACTGAAGTAGTAATTCTCTGTAATACTCTGTAATACTCTGTAATACTGAAGTAGTAATTCTCTGTAATACTCTGTAATACTCTGTAATACTGAAGTAGTAATTCTCTGTAATACTGTAGTAGTAATACTCTGTAATACTCTGTAATACTGAAGTAGTAATATTCTGTAATACTCTGTAATACTCTGTAATATTCTGTAATACTGTAGTAGTAATACTCTGTAATACTCTTTAATACTTAAGTAGTAATACTCTGTGATACTCAGTAATACTTTAGTAGTGATAATCTGTAATACTGTAGTAGTAATACTCTGTAATACTCTAGTAATACTCTGTAATAATGTAGTAGTAATACTCTGTAATACTCTGTAATACTGAAGTAGTAATACTGTGTAATACTCTGTAATGAAGTAGTAATACTCTGTAATACTCTGTAATACTGTAGTAGTAATACTCTGTAATACTCTGTAATACTGTAGTAGTAATACTCTGTAATACTCTGTAATATTCTGTAATACTGTAGTAGTAATACTCTGTAATACTGTAGTAGTAATACTCTGTAATACTCTGTAATATTCTGTAATACTGTAGTAGTAATACTCTGTAATACTGTAGTAGTAATACTCTGTAATACTCTGTAATACTGTAGTAGTAATACTCTGTAATACTCTGTAATACTCTGTAATAATGGAGTAGTAATACTCTGTAATACTCTGTAATACTGTAGTAGTGATACTCTGTAATACTGAAGTAGTAATACTCTGTAATACTGAAGTAGTAATACTCTGTAATACTGTAATACTGTAGTAGTAATACTCTGTAATACTCTGTAATACTGTAGTAGTAATTCTCTGTGATACTGAAGTAGTAATACTCTGTAATACTCTGCAATACTGTAGTAGTAATACTCTGTGATACTGGAGTAGTAATACTCTGTAGTACCCTGTAACCTGTAATACTGTAGACCATACTTTTATTAAAGGTGGTAACCCGTATGCTAAGTATGAATTCATTCAAATCTTATCACGGTCAAAGAATTGCGTTCTCTATATACTACAATACCATACTGTTCGTCGTCGTTAAAGGATATCGAAATGCCGACTCATCATTATTTTTGTCGCATAAAACCTGAGTAACCTTGCATTGTTTAATATTGAAATTTCTTTAAATTTGGTTCTTGCTTGCGCACCCCCTCCCAATTTTGTTTTGTTTTTGTTTTGTTTTTGTTTTTTTTTTGTTTGTTTTTGTTTTTTTGTTTTGTTTTTTGTTTTGCATTTCTTTCTGCAATTTCCTAACTCGTCTTCATATGTTTCAACAATTTAGGTCCTTGACATCAGTGACAAGTTCTAGAAGGACGAAATGATTGATTTATCATTTGGCTTAACTGTATTGAGAGTTGTATTGAGAGTTGCTATTCACTTTATTTCTGTAATACCGTAATACATGAGATATATTTTATACTCAGGTTTTATATGAAAAGAAATAAGGACGAGTCAGCATCCCTATACGACAAATAGTATGTTATTATAGTATATAGAGAATGCAATTCGTTTGCTTGCGGTTTTGAGTTATTCAATGTAAATCCTTTGTACCCAACGCCCTTCTTACAATGAAACTCGCTTCGAAATTGTTTTGAATGGCGGTAGTCGAAATATAACATTTCTGATTTGTTAACTAAGAAACGCAGCAATTGCTTCATATCCGTAGCTATTTCTAGATTATCTGAACTTCAGTGCTTATACAGCAGAACGTCCAAAAGCTTATTAACCAGTATATCAAAAATAAGTCACATATAAACGTCTTATTGCAAAGTAATTACATACAGTAATATAATACATTAAGGTGGGGGTCTTACTTTCATGTCATTCAAATGATCACGTGGTCCGACCCCTGACAGCATCAGTAGTTGTGGCGAGTTGATGGCACCAGCGGATAAAATCACCTCGTTCCTGGCGTGGATTGTGAATGTCTGCCCATCCCTTAGTACCTCCACACCCCTAGCCCGGCTGTCGTCTATTAGGACCTGACAAAGATATACCACTGTAAATGTGGATTGTGAATGTGTGCCCCTCCCTTAGTACCTCCACACCCCTAGCCCGGCTGTCGTCTATTAGGACCTGACAAAGATATATCACTGTAAATGTGGATTGTGAATGTCTGCCCCTCCCTTAGTACCTCCACACTCCTAGCCTCTGTAAATGCAATTTACTTTCATGTTTGTTAAAAAGAATTTGTGTATTTTCCCATACCAGGTTAAAACTGTCTGATGCTACAATGTTACGACACAGCCAGGCTGGGAGTCTTGGGTTCACAACAGTTATACATACGAATGTAGGAATCACAAATGTTATTAATGAGTAATAAACAAGATATTTTGGAAATATGTGATTTCATTTCAAATAAGACATAAGAATTCCTTCACCATAAACGTTATATATATATGTATATAAATACCCGTACTTTCAGTACTAGTCTGCCCAAGTGATCAATCCGTGTTTTATTTTCATAAGTCCTTATCAACATTGTAAGGTTTAAGTATTTACAGAAATTCTGCAAGTCCCACCCAAATGCTATGAGTACTAGACTCTGTCGTACATGTAAGTCGTTCAAAAGGGACAAATTTAACAATTTACATAGGGACAAATTTAACCATTTACAAAGGGAAAATTAAACAAATGAATTAAAATTGTTACTGTTATTGACGAATGTCTGTAAACATCATGTAACCATTACATGGGTTTGCTTGTTGTTTGTTTTAATCAAGTCTACTTGAAATAACACCTGCTCATGCTTTTTCATTTATTTTGTTCCCTCCCTTTTTAAGCAGAAATGTGAAATTGCATTCTTCTTTAATTTACACAAAAAGCTCACAACCCAAACATTTGCCAATTGTCACGCAATCCTCACCTTGGTAACCATGCTGTTCACACCCACGTGTAGATTTGTACGCGTCATGGCGGGCCTCAGGAAGGCATTGTACGTACTGCTTCTCTTGCCATCTCTAACAGTGGCCTGCATTCTACAAAATCCTACAAGTTACTTACTAGTTATTCTTCCCCATCTTATTTCCATATCATCAACTGTCATTACTCAAATGTGCAAAAATAAAAACATTCATGGCAACACCAAAGTACAAGTACAAAAAGTACAAAATAAATAATAAAAATAACAAAACACAGGTACATAACGTGCACAAATGTCGGATAGAGAAGAACAAAATCCTCGATGTGAAAACTAAAGTGACCATATTCGAACAAAACCGAATGCATTGTCAATGCACGAGAACGAAAATAATTGTTGAAACCAAAATAATATTTAATATCCGACAAATATCGAAAACAAAAGAAAACTATATATTAAAGTCGGATTTACCAATTGGGTCGGGGCCATTGCAATCCTGGGATTTGAAGCCCAACTCCTGGCCTGCTTGTAAGAATATATTGGGCAAGGACGTATGCGACACCTGTGACACACCCAGCTCTCCACCAGTGCTATGGAATGCTGTGTAAGAAGTACAGTAACAACGTTAATCTTGGTCTTTCTACATAAGTCATTGTTCATTTCCAAATTCTGCACATAGCTTGAATTATTTTAGCTACAATAAAATAATGACACAGATTTATTTCATGATGGTCCGAAACAACCAGAAAAATTTCAATTTACGGAAAAAGAATGTTAGAATTTCACATTTGATAACTGAAACGCGTCGCTTTATGGAGTGTCGGCCTAGAAAGATGACCTCGACTCAAGAAACAGTCTGACCTCTGACCTCCCAGATAAACAAACCATCGTATGACATTATACTCCACCGATACATACACACCTCAAAATAAACATATACATGAAGTGATAAATTAAAGACTTATTATTACCTGAGCTTTTGAGGTCGTCTATTTGTACATCCTCCGATTTCAGAAAGTAAGGAAGGATTTCCTTGTAAGTCCATCCCTCGCAGCCTTCCTTGGCCCAACTGTCATAATCATGGCGACTACCTCGTGCATACACCATCATATTAATTGCACTTGTTCCTCCTAACACCTTTCCTCGGGGCCAGCAGCTTCTCTGTAAAATAACATCATGTATAAACATACACAGTTACGACTCTCGACAGAAAATACATCCCTCCATATAAAATGCCAATTCCTAGATAATTCCCGCGTTACATCAGTCGTGACTATGACATCTGTATTTTAAATATCTTCATTTGTATAAGCGAGTTGATTATGACTTTAAATAATTTGCTATTGGACCACAGTCACGTAAATAAGTTCTTTGTGTTCAGCGTTATAAAATCAGGTTACTATGATCGAGTTTCAGAGCATATAGATGCCAATGTCAGGGAGGACAAACTACTGTGCTCAAAACATTAGCTTTTAGTCGTTAAAAAACATACCTGATCATTCATAGCAAATGCTGCATGCTGCTGCGGTTCTGTGAGGTAGTCCCAGTCCACACTCGACTTCTGTAGGAGAGCACATACCAAAGGTATGTTGATGAGCCAGTTGTTATCGCCTGTGTCCCCAGCCTCAAGGAGGAGCACGGTACTTCCGGTGTCCTCGGACAGTCGAGTCGCCAACACAGCTCCCGCGGATCCAGCGCCCACTGTTTACAATAGAAAATGTATATATATGACGTAAATATGTATCATTTCATCAACAAGTCCTACTATTGTCTTAGATAGGTATCCAGCATATCGTTGTTCTATGTTACAAGAACACCAAAGAAAATACACTCATGTTAACGTTCAAAGAGAATAAGACCAAATGTGGGTCCGGAAGGGTAAGCGCCTTCTGCTTCATCAACGACAAGTGTCACGTAAATTGTAATCTATCGATATAAGTTATTTATCGTTCTAAAATGATAGCAAGGTAAACACAACTTATCCAACAGGCAAACTTATGAGCTACAAACACGTCCAGCTTCATATCACACAAAGAAATATAATACTTCTCAATGAGATCACCATGACGACCGTGAAGCTTTCCCATAACCTTGATCAACCTGCATCTCACACAAACCTGTGTTGTAAGTTTATCGGTTAGTTGACGACAGATAGGTAGACATCACGTGATATTGGGAACAAATCCACGAATATCGAAACAAGAACTACGACATGTAAACATGTAAAATATATATTTCTCCTGTGTTTATTCACCTTTAACTATTATCATTTTGAGTTTATTCACAAAAAACTAAAATGAGAGAGAGAGAGAGAGAGAGAGAGAGAGAGAGAGAGAGAGAGAGAGAGAGAGAGAGAGAGAGAGAGAGAGAGAGAGAGAGAGAGAGAGAGATAAAAAGTGTTCCTATTGTTTACCTGTTTCATTGTGAAATCACTCACCTATTATATAGTCATAGGTATCATTCAGATGCTTGGTTGGTTGTGGGCCAGAATTCCTCATGAAAAACACGCCAGTGAGTACTGCTAACACCACCATCAAAATAAAGGTCAGTGTGTTCATGGTGATCGTTGGGTATTTAACTGGTCAACTGGTCACTCGCATGGCCATACAGACTGAAATATAAATGGCAACTGGTGACCAGTATTTCGTACACCTAGTACACACGAACTAAAGTTCACACACACGTTATATGTTTTAGACGGGGTCAAAAGGTTAAGGGAATACGGTGACATTTCGTGGTCGTTTTAGCAATCACACACCATTTATCTCGGAGGAGGCAGTTGAACCCTGGACCCCTAAAACTGAAAATGATCCCTCCACTTTCCAGTTTATCTTAGATTTATTTGACATTGTACTGACATTAAATAAAAATGACTGAAATCGGCTCATTGAAGTAACTGTCACATTAATAAAAGATAAAACAAACGGGGTATCACTAGTTCGAGATATCCATATTCCTCTGCATACAGGGTATCTTTAGTTCGAGATATCCACCTTCCTCTACATACGGGGTATCATTACTACTCCCAGTTACATTGCGATTTCTGGTTTATATAATACCCAATCAAATGTCAGTGTAAAACGTGTAGGTTGTATCTCTCGTTAAAGAAGAAATGACAGGTTATCATAGTTATTGTTGTTCAAGGGATCTGAGGTAAGGAATATGTCGATAGGAAGGAAGGTAAAAAGGAGGAGGGGTGTTGTTTTACCTGCTGGATTCTGTTCAGCACTACTGTAATATGTAACACGTACGTTGAAGTAGCAAACAATAGACGGGGTCAAGGTAATTGTTCAAGTCCATTATCACATTTTCATATAGTGCTTATCCATCGTGAATACAGACTATAGCTCTACAATATATAAGGCTTATACATTAATTTTCCAAAACGTTAGATAAAATAATGGACTCCAAAAGAACAATTAGACTGTTGACAAATCTTTATTAGTATATATATATATACGTTGTTGAATTATCATAAAAATGAAGCGAATAGAATACCTCCAACGATATTAACACTGCCGTGATCGTGCGATGGATAGGACTTTCAAGATGGCGGACCAACGTAACACCGGAAGGTAAGCTCTGCTTTCAAACGGTAATATCCATAATTTATATACTCACTATGATCATGACACATATTGTATCTGATTCGCAAATAGTGCTAATATTGTTGTACGTATCTATTTGAATGATGATAAACTTAAAATGTATTGCAATCTGCGTGTAGACTTTGTCAACATGCCGATTTGTTAGATCCAAGCGGATGTGAGCTTAACTTTTGGCCCTAGCTAAACAAAATAAATACACCCAGTCAGAGTTTTAATGTTAAATTGGAGATTAGATAAGCGTCTTATCGAATAACAATCTTTTGTGACGGAATCGGAAGCGTGATTGGAGAAAAAACACAGGGAATTTTGACCATGCGATGGCTCGGTCTCGGTACATTTTGAGATGTCTCGCTAAGGATCGGTCATATGATTTTGCTAAGGACGAGTCTTGCGCGTGACGTAAGCTATACTGTGTATATATTTTATTTCCATTTACATTGTACTTTAATCTGCATCTCGGCTGAACTACAAACATTCCACAGGGTGATTTACTTGTAGACCAGCACGTAATTGCAGGGAAACACTCGTTAGGAATACAAGATAGCGAAATTCGACAGTAAAATCAGTGAATTTTCAAATTCGTGAATTTAATTCGAATGAACTGAAATCCAGTTGCAATCCACTGTGCTTTTCACAAGAATGTTCTATCACTTCTGACTTTTCAAGAGTAGTGATATCTGAATCTGGAAAAAATCAATTTATACAGAATACCCCATTACGTGTAACAACTGTAGGGCAAGACGAGAGACAAGGTCTGAAACATCGACAACATTAGGGAACTTGTGGGACACAAATGACAGGACAAAAAGAACCTGTCGGGAAGCACAGGGAAGAAAAAGCAGAAACACGGGCATCGGAGAGAGCAAAGAACAGGACTGAAAGGTTAGAACGTATTCCTTCCGTCTGATCCCTCACCATCTGCTTTCTAGCTTGGGTGGCCCTTCCAGGAACTGCAAGCATAGCCATCAGGATTATTGGAATACACAATCCACCACGGGGAGGTAGCAACACCGGGAGAGGAAAGCTGAAATCAGACGTTGAATGACTATAGTTTAGACTAATCCTTAACCAAAACGTCTGACCGGTCCTCAACAAAACCGTCACAAAATGCACCGATCCTTAGCAACGTGATCACAAAATGCACCGAGCCTTCGCATGGTCACACTTTCCTGTGGTTTTTTCTTCAATCATGCTTTCCATTCCGTCACAGAAGATTGTCATTCGATTAGAGGCTTATTAAATCTTCAGGATGAAATTAAAACTCTGACTGAATTTATTCAATTGTTTTAGCTAGGGTTGATAATTGAGTTCACATCCGCTTGGATCCAACAGATAGGCATGTTGACGAGGTTTACACGCAGATTGCACTACATTTTAAGTCTATCATCATCCAGATAGATACGTACAACAATAACAGCACTATTTGCGAATCGGATATAATATGTGTCATGATCATAGTGAGTATATAAATTATGGATATTACCGTTTGAAAGCAGAGCTTACCTTCCGGTGTTACGTTGGTCCGCCATCTTGAATAGTCCTATCCATCGTACGATCACGACAGTGATTAATGAAGTGATGACTTCCCACACAACTTTATGTGGCGACAAACAATGCCTATTGTTGTAAACAATATCCAACTGACGGAAAGCTTCCATTCCATTTTAAAGACAATTGATTTCCGACGTTCTTGTGTATATAAGTATATGTTTATAAACATGTCACACACTCTTAGAAGTAGATCAACCATTCCTAATGAAATGACCCGGCACGAAACATTCATCCGCTACTTATAACTCAACACCTTTATACAGACATAACTCGTTGTGGATCTTGAATCCCAGCCATACAGCATGTATATCTCGAAACAGAAACCTCGTGAAAAGTATAGTGTATTTGTAAAGGCACACGAATAGCCCACGATAACGATAACCACTGCACTGCTGAGATTATCTCCTTGTATACGGATGCATGTCTGTCTTGTCCTACATTCACATCTAAACTCCAATAACATCCGATCCATGTTTAGTTTACATTATACAGGTACGGTACTAGGCCTCTCCTGCTACTGTGGCCATTTGGTTTTGTGCAGGTGTAAATTGACAAGATACACGCTCCATGATAATGTTACAACTGTTTCACCTGTAACAGCGAAGTGGCCACTCTTTTGCTGTATTTTACACTCCTCAAAGTAATGTAGTTGGAGACATTTTGGTTAGACTGCACAATATCTCTGAAATCGTTTTTTACTCTATCCCATGGATATCTCTAAATCTAGAAGTCTCACATTAAGGGGAGATAAGCGAGAAGACGGTGAATAAGTGTTAGACAAAACGTAGGGATTGGTAATCAGACTGGGTCGGACTGATGGCAAAACACTGAATATAAACTAGTAACAGATAGTAATGTCAGAAAGTAATATCTATGAAAGAGAATAGTATGACTTATCTTGAGGTCAACTTACCCCAATGTAATCCGGGAGACAGTGTACTGAATGTAAAATCCGTCACCTTCGTACACGTATTTCTCCTTGCAAATTACCTGGAGTGAGGAAAGGTCAGAATCGGGCACATGTGTACAATACCAAACACATGCACAGTGAACAAACGGGTTAAGATATGTGATACGATACGATAAAAGGCCTACACAGAGATTCGGAGTGGAACATAAGGGTTAAGTAAGAGAGAGTATTAGGAATTCATGTTTTCCCCGTAACATTTAAATATGGATACAAGATGATACTCTTGCCTAGTTAAACTTCAATTGTAGTTCAGTCCCGATCTAGATAAATATCTTGGTTGTCTCCAACAGAGGAATTAAAATATTTCAGGTGGTGATAAACCTTCACTAAATACCAATACAAATATCGACTTCGAGGTATCTGAGGCTAATATTACCACGTCACGGTCTTTTTTTACCAGAAATCACGATGTCATTTCAAGTTCAAGCTTTATGAGCTGTCGCAGAAACTCGCACTTCGCGAGTTTCGTTTTAAAAACCAGTACTTGGGATATTGTCTGAAAATTTATTACCTCAAAACCAGCATTCGGAGACTAAGACTGAAAATCAAGCAATCAGAGTATTGTCTCAAAACCAGCACCCGGAGTATTTATTTAGGGGTATTGTCTCAAAACCAGCACCCGGAGTATTTATTTAGGGGTATTGTCTCAAAACCAGCACCCGGAGTATTTATTTAGGGGTATTGTCTCAAAACCAGCACCCGGAGTATTTGTTAATGGGTATTGTCTAAAAACCAGCACCCGGAGTATTTACTTAGGGGTATTGTCTAAAAACCAGTGCCCGGAATATTCATTTAGGGGTATTGTCTCAAAACCAGCACATGGAGTATCTATTATCGTCACAGCAACTATCACGCGGATTATCGTCTCAGCACTTGGGATATTGTTTTATAAACCAACATTCGGATTCCTGTCTCAGAAACCAGCTTTCTTAGTAGTTTCTGAACATTCAAATTATAGCACTCACTCGGAGTATTACCTCTTGAAGTAGGGCTCGGAAAAATAGCACAGAGATTGACACGTGGGCACTTAGAACCAATATTATTAATTAATCTTCTTTATTCTAGTGACGTAAGTCAGAGAATGTGGTTGATTAGTTCTCCGAGTACCAACAGGTAAAGGGCTAAAATAATGTTTGATATCGAGTCTTGGCCAACAGGTACCCCGTAGAAAGTTTTCATGTAAGTACAATGTAAAAACACTAAAAGGACCAGGACTCTGATCAATACAAATAGGACAATCTATAATTAGAAATGAAAATACAAATGGTATTCATACAACGATCAATTTGTGAAATAAATTAATACTGATTGGAATTGTATGTCTCCAATCGCTTAATGATTAAGTAGTTAGTGGTCAGACAGAAGGTTATGCAGCGAAGATTTACATACTCAAATATATAAATACTTACCTGTGTGACTTTGTTAAAAC